CGAAAGGACGAGCGACCCCGGGTCAGCAAAGAAATTGGAGCCGGGTAGCTGTCTGGATTCGACGTGTGGGAACGGAGAGCACATCTGCGATGGACGGTCATGCGTCAGAATACTGTCGTTTCAAAAAGAAGACCTGGTCACTTGGTTCGAAGACATCACAGAAAGGGAGAAAAGTGAAGTGCAAATAATAGCGGAATGTTACGCGAGAACCACGGTGAATATAGCGACAGCTCTCGGATTCTTCTCGAGAATGTGTGGTCTGCAGGCACTGGAGAGACTGGAGTCTGAACATCATTTAGTGACGGCGTTGAGCGTGGAATCATGGCCCGGGGTGTTGCAGGTGACTCAAAAACACATCCGGAGCTGGAAAGTTGGTCTTGAGGCGGAAATGGGATTTCCCCTGAGCGAAGCTTATGGCTTGCCATTGAACGCGAAATCGCTGATAGGGTCAATGATGGCCAACTTGTGCGGAAGTCACTACCCGCTACACATGGCGATGGTGGAAGTGTCCAGCCAGAGAATACTGGTGGACAAGGCCTTCTCAGTGCCCAAGTGCGTGAGGTTGGCTCGGATGTCGCATCACTCGCACAAGTTGTTGAGAAAAATCAAAGGGACAGTACCAAAAGAATTGAGAGATGACTTAAGCGAAATCTGGGGAGAAGATCTTCTGAAGTTGGAAAGAGAAAACACAAGCGATCACGAGAGACAAAACGTGATCGGGAAACCTGTGGGAAGTACTCCGAACCTGGAAGACAACGACACGATGCACGAGAAAATGATGGAGCTTGAGCCTCTCTTGGAAGCCTCAGGGGAGCGTAATCTCAGGAGCATTGAGATCTCTCATGGGGAATGCCCATGCCACTGTTTGGCACAAACGGTGTGGTATCCAGATCACAAGAACCTTTGCCTGGTGTGGGATGTGGAAGAGATTCGGTCGATCGGACTACCGGATCACCGGCAGAAGGTGACGCTCTTAGTAGTGAGCACGATGTTAGCTCTGAGATGGATAGAAGAGAATATAACGAAGTATCGGGAGGCGACGACGCCAACGGCTGAGTCAATATACGCGATAGACTACAGCAGGAGACTTGAGTTGTTTGAGACTGCGTGCAAAGTATTCGCCATACCAACGGAAGTCAGGCACGTATGGAGTCGCTTGAGGTACTTTCCATGGTTTCGGGCGACACTGACATCTTGGTTGTACAGGGCAACGAAAGATCACATGAGAAAATATCATAAGGAGTATCGACAGTTCCAGGCCGAGATTGGGCCGGAGGCTTTCAAGAGACCCCTGCTAACCCATCGTAATGCGATCACGACGGGATGGAAGAGAGTGGGTAAGATGTCTAGAGACAACACCAAAGCGAGGGAGTCGATACTAGAGGAAGACCTGGCGAAGAACGTGAGCTTGAGCCTGCACAACTCCTTTTGCTTGAACCGAGAAGCTAGGGTGAAGGCACTACCCAACCAAGCAAAGAGATTGCAGGAGCAGAGAGAATGGATGCGATCCTATGAACAGCTGAAGGCTTGGGAGGAGATTGTGATTAGTTCCGATGATGAAGAAGAACTGTTGAGACAGTTTGCCGCATCTAGCACTTCAGGGGGCAGTACCTCCAAGGCGAAGAGCACGAGATGAATGGGCAAATCGGATGGATCTTGAGTCTTGAGAGGGAAGGGGGGCTTGAGTGTGAATCCGAGTGAAACTTGGATTCACGAAAAAGAAATTTTAACAAAGTAAATATTGTTACTAATATACTATATCTATTATATAAATCAAAATGCTGCATGACAATTTCCTGATTGAATAGGACAAAAGAGATTTTTAAATGATTGGCTTGAAAAGCGAAAATTCAAAGGTGCAGGTAAATGCAGATTTTGATTGCTGTTTAGCAATAGTGTGAAAATTTTAAATGGTCGTGAATTTTGGGGTGTAGATAATCTTAAATCTGCTGCAAACTTCTGTAAATGACCACTGGCACTGTATCTTGAGCAACACTCGGTTTTTCTGGGACTCACTGGCAGAAGACAGCGCGCGATGAGGACATCGATCTCGAGTCCGGGGAGTATGTGCCAGTCGGTCATATTTGGAAGTTTGACCTTGAGAAGAGCAGAAAATACTTGATTTTGAAGTGAAATTTAACTTTTCAAAATTTCGAAAGGAACATGTCATGCACGATTTTCTCGCGACAACTGAAAATCAGAAAAAGAAATCAGAACAATTTTAGAGCAATTGCGGGAAAGTTAGAAAGTAAAAACGAGTGGGAAATTGCTATTCGCAATTTCCGTCTATATACAATCGAGAGTAGAGCTGTCCTACTTGAAATAGAAGACAGAGTATCCCCGAGAGAGCGATTACTAAAGTTGGACCAGAGTGAACCTTCAGCGGAAAGGCGGACAACTAGAGTGTCCCAACGGTCCAAGAGAACTCAAATTCTAGAGCATGAACTTATCCTTGCTGTCCAAACTATAAAACATTAAACTTCTCTTAGTTATTTATTTCTTGAGTTAGTTACTGACTGGATTATTTTCCCAATTCTTGAGCGTGCTGCTATGTGAGTACAAATTTAATTTCTAGAGTGTGTTTTATGATTGTTATGTTGAGATAAGGCGAGTTTTAGGTTGATCCATCTGAAATGGATCAAAGTTACACTGTCTAATAAAAAGTAACCTAACGGATTGTTCCAACCCGGTTTTTAACGGCGTTCATGTATTTTGGGTATCTAGAGACCTAAGTATGGGGACGTTTCTAATTCTAGAGTGGGGGGATATTTTAGTAGTAGCCTTTAAGCTGTAACGGGTCGTAGTCTCATGTCATAAGCGAACCGAACTGGCTCCGACCGTTCTTGAGGTGGGAAAACACAAGAGATAGCGTCCCTGACCCTTGAGCCAGTGGTTATAGGGCCTATTTTTCTTAAGCCTCATGTGTGACTGCAGTAGACGAATGTTACATTTGCATGTTATTAGGTTAATTTGAGTGTTTTGACCGAAGCCGAAAGCAGTAACGTTTTTGTCGACCCGATGTTAGAAAGACCACCAAAAGAACTGGCTTGGCAGAGACGGTGAAAAGCATGTAGAGCTCTGTTCAATACGCTGGCCGGTCGTTTTATAGCTGAGCTCTAATTTCCGTCGATATTTACTTCCGGGCGAACATTACCCCAGATTCGTGTTGCCTGTGGTTTGAGACTTGGTGCCATGATATCACCACAGTTTAGCTGTGTCTGCGGCACTGTCACAGATCAAAAGGTCACTATGAACTCACATGTCTCAAGATAAAGTCACGATTCCAACGTCATTGCGTGTGCAACACAGTTACAAAGGAAGCTGTCAATGCAACAGGTACATAATCAACATTAGAACCCATCGGACTGCTCACAAACGACGGCCGTAGACCAGACGGTATCACCTTAACAATTTGGCATCGCGGTAAGCCAGTCGCACGGGACTTTACATGTTTACATCGTCTCGCTGCATCACGTATCCCGGTTGCCACAACAGAAGGTCCTGTTGTTGTTAGCGAAGCTGAAATCAGAAACTGGCTTTGGTCATTTAGTAACATCTAAATGACCTCCCTGATTATTGCACGTTTGAGCCGGTTGCAATTGAAACACTGGGTGGAATAGGCCAGACGAGTATCAAACTTCTACAAGCAATAGGCAGAAAAATCAGAGAACAGACAGGTGAAACGAGATCGTTCCTATTTCTGAAGTAAAGACTCGGTCTAGCCATTGTACGCGGAAACCATGCTTGTATCCAAGAATCAATGCAAAATGTTACCTTGTAACTCGATTTTAATGACATTTGTTATTTTAACTAATTTTAATTTTTTACGACGATGCATTTAATGCTAACTTTTCTTTACTTTGCTACAATCGTTACAACACGAATGCCGAGAACCAGGAAGGGTATTGGGAAGACGTTTCCAGCCTTCCGGGAAGAAAAAGGAGTGTTATTTGCCCGGATTCCAGAATCCGGAGGGGTCTCGGGAGAAAACTGTAATTCTCTGTTTATATGAACTTTTAGCTTCTGGTCATGTCCTGAAATGAATTAATAACATCTAAATTCGTTTTCAGATTATGAGAAGCTAGGAGTTAAGCGAAAGAGTTGATCCATCTTCGATGGAGAGGATGATTTTTATCTGCTGAACAAAAACAATAGTAATATGATAAATATGTAGTAGCCCTGTTTTAAGGAGTGACCTCGTGGTCTGGGGATGCTGAGACCCAGCCATGAGCTCACTATTTCCGCATGTAACTAAGTTAATTAGAGCGTTCTGATCGAAGCCGGAAACAGTAACGTTTTTGTCGACCTGATGTTAGAAAGACCACCAAAAGAACTGGCTTTGGCAGAGACGATGAAAAGCATGTAGAGCTGTGTTTAGACGCTAGCCAGTCATTTTAGAAGCTAGCTTTATTTTCCGTCGAAATGTACTTCCGGGCGAATGTAACATTTAGTTTGAAATGAGTGGACAGCTTGGTCCGAATAAATTCCATTTTTGGGCACCCGAAATCTCATAAAATCAAGTACTTTGTCATTTCCCAAACAGACTCAAAATTCTGACGCGTTGATGGCAATTCATGCTAACATGTCTAGTTTTTTAGAAAATAATCTGTTGTTTTAGCGAAATTTTTTCGGTTTTGGAACTATAGTTTCAATGGTAGCTCCCTGCTTTGTTCAAACATAAACCTCCTTCGTTATGACGGACTGGCAAATGTTGTGTTCAAAGCTTGTCGAATTATAAATTGGTTCGAATTTTTTATAAGAGTTACAGAGATTACAGGAAATTTGTTGGAGCTAAATCTTTGTTCATGGCATTTTTTTGTGATTGTCAAAATTGTCTTCATAACGACATTATTTTATCGAATAACCTGAAATTTGGTCGGCTCATTCTGGCTGATCTTCTTGATATGGAGAATTGGTTGTTTGTCGGGCCCTGACTTTACAATGTTCCTATGACTCTTTAATGTCCCTATGAGGTCATCCCTTTCTACTTTGTTTGTAACTAGTTTCAGATGGTTTATAATGCTGCTTACTCGTTCAAAATCAGTCATAAAATTTTGTCAAAACTTGTCACTATTGGCAAATTTGACGGGACCAATTATGCATTAGCTTGTGCCACAGTAGGAGGAAAGGTCAGTTGCACTGATTTATTTAGTTTAAATTAAATTTATTTCGCAGTCATATCCTTTTAAATGGGTTGTAGGTTTTCATCCATATTCCCGGTGGATTCAAAAAAGCTGGGGCTGATGAAAACTATTCGTCTGATCCCTCAGCCGAAACAAATGTTCTCAATGTAAATCAGTCAATAAAATGTCTTGCAGCTGGGAAGTTTGACCAAAACTCTGACCGAGATTTTTTGTTTGTTGGAACACAAACTCACCTTCAAGTTTACGATGTCTACAACAACGCTGACATACTTTTTCATCAGGTAAGTTATAAAGGTCGCGGTGATTTCTTTTCATTTTTTTTTTCAAAAGAAAAGGCTAAAAATGTTCTCATAACTACTAGAGTGCATTCAAACATTTTTCAAAAAACAAGTCAGCTTTTTCTTTTTTTTGCGTTCATTGACTCTTTTCCAACAGTTTTTTTTTTGGCTATGTTTGTAGTTGCTAGTGTTATTGTCGACATTTTGTTTTTGTGTCCACGTTTTATTGGCTTAGTTTTCACTTAAGGGAATTTTTATGAGAGGTATGCAATTTTTCTTGTAGTTGCAAGTGTTCTTGATGTACCCCGGTAATTTAAAAAGCTTACTAACCTTGACTTTGAATATTGTCCTTTTGTTTTTTTTTCGCTCGAAAGCTTAATAGGGCCTATATTGTTTCAGCATATGTTATATCTGCTTAGTGAACAAAGTTTGCGTTGTTTGAAAGGAGAAAACAGCCTTTTTGTGTTTTCGGAAGGGGCGTAAAGTTTTAGAAACTTATTGCTCAAAGGTTCTATAGCAAAAATTTTGTTTTCGGCTCAACATGCGTTTACCTAGTTTTTGTCGGGTTAGTTACCGCTCGACAAATATTTATTTTCTTTTGCGAGAACAAGTGACTTGTAATCGGGAAGTAGATTTTTCTTACAGGTGAAAGATCTCGGATTCTAGTCCCGATCTGACTTTGTTTTCTTTTTCGCCATGAATCTATTTATTCTTGACGCGTTTCGTTTTTATGAAAACTCAGGCCCATTTGACTTAGTCTAGATGTGAAAAACATTTTTTTTTAGAAAATTTAAACCGTTGAACTATTGTTTAACTACTGTAGATTTTATAAGCAAATTCAATTGAGAGTCATTCTGTAATTTGTAAGTTTATCACAGCTGATTCTGTATAATTATCTTCTCTTTTTTTCTTACTTTAACGTCTTAAACTGCTATATTGACCTAGTTGATATTTTTTGTGATGTTTTTGTGTGTTTCCAAGAATAAAGCCTAAATACTTCGACATTATAGCTCAAAATTTAGTATGATTTCATTTCATTTTGGCTCAACTGGCGTCTAACGAAGTATTATCGGCTTAGTTGCCGCTCGGGAAATGATTTTAAAGGCATATATAAAGGCGGTGATTGTGATCATTGGCGTATTTCCTGAAAATGTCGATCGCCCGATATAAATTTGTGGATTTTTTTGTAGAAGTATGTTCTTCGAATTCGCTTGCGTCTTATTGGAGATAACCACACATTTGTAATAGACAACCTAAAAGATAGATCAGCACCGCGTGTAATTCTTGTCAGTTTAATGTGCAATACTTATCAAAGTACGGCGATTGTGTTTCTGAATGTGTTGTATTCAAATTGAACATCATTCGAGACATGCACTTGGATTTTTTGTATCTGTGGGTTTGCGACATTTTTCAAACTTTTTTTAAAGATTTTTTGTCTTTTGTTTCATTTGTAGTCTGCTAGCTTGTAATGCTTGTTTTGTATTGTATCACAAATGGCGCGAAACTCAGCTGCGTCTCTGTGTAGAACCTACAATTATTGTGCTTGAGGGGCTCGTAAACTCTTCGAGCTGAAAATTTTCTTCGACAGTTTTTTTTTGCTCAACGGTTGTTTACCCAGGTATTGTCTGCTTAGTTGATAATTTTTTTGCAATACTAAGTTAAAATGGTGGCAATTGTGTTTCTCGGCTTTTTTTCTAAAATTGAACTGTTTTTGAGACAAGCGTATTAAACTGTTTCCCTGATTGCTTTTTTCGACTCAGCTTATTTTTTGTTATGAAGTATGATCAACAGTTTTGCTATGAACAGTTGGTTTGTTCATTGCCTTATTTCGTTACATTATGACACAGGTAAATTGTTTCCAAATTTATGCACAAATGTGAGAACGGCAGATACTTTCATTTCGTTTTCTCTGGCTCAACTGGCGTCCAAAATTATGGTAGTTCTGACTTCGTCGATTTTTGTTCCGACCATTGAAAATGGGGAGGAACTTTGTATTCGTGTCTGTTTTAGTTTTTTCCTTTTGTTTTCTTCGCAAAATCAGGTACCACAAATGATCATCGACCAGTCTTGAGTAATATATCATATTAAAGCCTTTTCAGTCGTGATTCGAACCACATTTCTAGTGTCGAGAAAAACCCATTAGAAAGTTTTGATTTTTCGTCTAATTTCGAGAGAATAAAGCGAGGGATCAGGCATACAATAAAGCGAGGAATGAGGCAACCAAAAACTTCAAAAAAAAATGGAAAATTTTTTGTTTTTCTAGTCAATTTTCTTAAAAAAAGTTTTTATTTGATTTGCCTATATTACTATGAATGTCAAATATGCTTAACACATAGTTTTACATCAGACTTTTTTAAATCACCCTACGCAAAAAAAATTTCATCAGCTTGGAAAAAAAACAAAACTTTTTCTGGTAGTTTCTTAAAGACTGTGGTCGGAACATTCTGTGCTACTTGCACACTAACCGGCTATCCTTGCTATTTTATAGTTTTTTTCTGATTTACTGGTAGTTAGCATGCTGTGCAATAATTGTAGTGTAAGAGTAAAGAACTTAGTGAAGATTCTTATACAGGTCTTGTTGATATTATTTGCTTTGTTTTTTTTCCAGGAAAAAGTCTTAACATGTGCATCAAAATCTCTAATAGCTGCAGAGGTGCATTCATACATATTTATGCATTTATGAATTCTTTTAGGTACTTATTCATTTTTTGAGTTCATTCTATTATATATTTAAATGCGGGCTTCACTGTCTCGCCATGTTTAAGCTTTTTCAGCGTATTATTTTTGCATGTTTTACAAAAGATTTTTTTAACGTTCGTATATTGCAATGGTCAGCTGTATAGTGTATTGCAATGGTTGAGATTTTTTTTTCATTTTCTATATGAATTCAGTGTTTATTTTACCAAGTTTGAAATTAGCAACCCAAGGATGATGTCAGGCTTTACCCGGGTGTTGCGATTTTGGCGTCCATATATGAATAACCAAATCCTTTTAGGTTATGAGATGGACAATTTTCAACCCTGTACTTGGGGACTGTCAGGGTACTTTCAGGAGTTGCGAATCTTGCATTTGAATATGACTGCTCAAATCATTGTTGTTTTCGAGATTTGAATGGTTTTTAGGATTTTTTCAAGATTTCTGAGAAAATGTAAATTTATTTTTCACATTTTGAAATTCTCAACCCTGTACTTGGGAGCTGTGAGAGTACTCTCAGTGGTTGCGAGGCTTGTATCCGAATATGACTGGTGAAATCTTCGCAGTTTTCGAGATATGACGTTTCATATGTCATTTTGATATTTTTCAAAGAACTTAGATATAAAAAAACTTCGCATAATTTCTAACTTTGAATTTAAAATTGAATAAAAATTTCTCACTAAATTTGGAATTGTCATATTACAACCTTGTATTTGAGTGCTGTCAGAGTAAAATCAAGAGAAGCAGATCTTATTTGCAATATATGCGGTTTTTTATGAGTTGTTAACAATTAGAAGCACCGGAGGTGCGTTACAAGCTAGTTGAAATTTGTCTTCTTAAAGTGACGTAAATAGCACTCTCCATTACGAAGGTTAATTCAGTTTTCTCTAGTTGGGTTCATGTTATCAAAAAAGCGCCAATCATAAATTGTTTTAGAAATTCAAAGAGTTTAAATGGCTTCTATTTTTTTCTTTGAAATTTTGAAAGTTTGCTTATTTTACTATAATTGTCGAATATGCTCAAATTATAGTTTTACGTCAGATCCTTTCATCAAACCACGCAGAAAAACTCTGTTTATTTGAAAAAAGAATTTGTTTATGAGACTATGGTCGGAACATTCTGTGCTATTTGCGCAATAATCGGCTATCCTTGATAGTTTTCGAGAATTGTTTTGTTTTCCCAGTTCCTCTTTTATCCGTTTTTAGAGCTGTTTTCTCGCATGTTTTTGCGGAGTGCAGCTTGGCCTCAGTTTCAAATATAGTGCTGGTTAAATATAGTTTTGGCTAAGGCTGCTGACAGGATACTATTGAATGGTAGAATGGTAAACTTTGAAGATTTAAGTTTGATGAAATTTGCAAGCAAAGCGAGCTCACCTTTTCGGCGAATCTAGAAAAAACTTGTTTTGTGAGAAATTATTATTTTTTTAATCTGTGCATAAAACTAACTAACGTATCAAACTAATTCTGGTAAAATAAAATAGTTCTTCTTTTGAAGCTTGTGGCCGGTGCGGAAAGGCAGCTATGCATTTTTAATTATTATTTTAAAAGTTTTGTTTCGTGTTTTTTTTTGTGTTGCGAGAGTAGTCCTATAACGTGACAGTCGGGACTACTTGTCGTAACTTGCTACTGTTTTCCCATCTTTCAATGCTATCGACTGCCCGCTCTCTGCTCAACCCAAGTTTCCAGTTGACAGCATTGGGTCCGAACTCGTATTTATGCTTCTTGTTCACCCTTGTCATAACCTTCGTTTTATAACAGTGCCTTAGAGCGCGTAGAATGCTCTCGTACTTGATTCCAGTGGCTTGACTTCGAGCTCTGTTTCTACTGGGTACTGTGTTTTTGTAGTCATTGTAGAACTTGGTGAGTTCTCTAGCGTTATGTATTTTGAACAGACCGGTGGTTCTGTCTTCCCAGCTGATCAAGTGTTTGTATTTGTTGGGATTCAGCAGAAGATGAAGTATCCATTCCCACAGTTTAGCCGAATTGAGATCTCCTAAAACATCATCATCATTAACCACAGGCTCGAAATTTTGCAATCTATGGGATAGCCTTCAATAAAATTCGGCTGAAAATGTTTTTTTTTCTGGAGCAGTTAGTTTATTGACGATTCTCTGTAGTAGACATCCCCCTAGAACTTAGATATGAATCTCTCCCTATAAAGAACTAATTCAACAGTTAATCATATGTGAAATTTATTAGAGATAGTTAACTAGATAATTAAAGAGATAGGGTGAATACTGAATAGATATAGAGATCCAAAAGTCTGCGGTTGAGAGTCAATTCTTTTCGAAAACTTTTCTGTAGTAGTCGCGATTTAGCTGTTACGCCGAACCTGGTATGACATTTTTTTTAAATTTTCATGCCATTTTACATAATAAAAGAGAATATATATCAGCCAAAAGTTATGTATCAGAATATAAATCGGCAAAAGTATCAAACAAGTTAAAAGAGTATGTTATATAATAGTTATGTAACATTTAAGTAACAGTTACGAAAGTCACACTAATTTCGTCCAAATGACGAATTTTTTTTTTTTTAAATTTGTTGATACTTTTGCTTATTTATATTCTGATACAAAAAAAATTACGCCATTTGGATGAAGTTAGTGTGACTTTCGTAACTGTTACATAATTGTTAAATAAATGTTACATAACTATTATATAACATACTCTTTTTTTTGGCTGGCTTACATGTTAGTTGGCTTAGAGTGCGGTCTGTATTCAGACAACCGTGTATTCATACTCTTCAGTAGGCATACAAATGTCATATTAACCAATCAGAATCGAGATGAGAAAGCAAATTTACGAAACAAATAATTATTAATTATTCATTTCTTCCTTGTCTCGATTCTGATTGGTTAATACAGTATTTGTCTAATTACTGACGAGTCTGAATGCGCGGTTGTCTAAATACTGCTACGTAATCAGCTGGCTTATATTTCGGCGGCTGTTTTACATACCACCACACAAACACTGTTCAAGTCTTATAATCTTTCTTTTATTCATTTGAGTCGCAATTATGTCGCAATGTTTGACAAGAGTTTGAAATTCAAACTAGATCAGCAATCTGCTCCTGCCATTTGTCTAAATTCTTCTGAGCATATCTATTATTCGAAATGAATTTGACCTTGACTCATAAGATATTGTTGATTGGAATAAGCCGCAGAAATAAGATGGAGACAGTTGTCGGACCAAGTTAACACCCTCCTCCCATGCCGTTTTTGACCAGTTACCAATTTTTTTGCCCAATTCCAGCATTTTTTGGCAATTTCTCCCAATAAAAATTAGAATGCATTGGGGCTTCATTAGGTTTGGTCAGCCATAAAATGCGAAAAGGGGGTTGCGACCTCCGCTCTCTCCCTCCCCGGAACGCTATTGCAACGAACCTTCCTATCTGCTGTAATTCAAAGTTTTGTACTAATCCTCTATGTCAAGTTTGCATTAAACTTCTTGAATGGTCGTAAATATATTTTCATATACTAATTTTGCGGCTACCCTAGAAGCGTTTCTAAGAAGCGTAATCTCAGCTGTAAATATGTGCCTTTGAAGATGAGACGACAGAGTACACCTTAAGTTAAGCACCTAGATATTGAAGATACATATAATCCCAAATATATATCTGAAAGTTCTATTAGCTTAGCTTGTATTAATCTTTGCGTGAGAAACAAGGGTTTAGCAAATCGGAAATGATGTTCTTAAATGATAAGGAACGCTTGGGGACAGCAGAGTTAACTGTTTTATTCCGACTTCGCTACTTCAAGGAACTGGCTCCTAGGTGTATAATTTATACAGTTTTAGGTGCCCCAAATGCCAAAGAAGCATTTTTTCTGTCAAATGGGTTCATATTAATGTCTTCACATAGCTATTAGATTGCAAAAGAAAACTTTTTTCTCTTAGAACCTTGACCTAGATTTCTTTGTATCAAGAGTAATACTAACGAGATCTTTGAAAGGTCAAATTCGAATGTCTGTCGGAAGGAGAGTCCTGTTCCTGTGGACTGTTGATGTTGCTACTCCTATAGTAGAAGACGGGAGAATTTTGTTGCGGCGAGTCGGCTTCCACCGCGAAATCCGAGTCATCTGCGGCGTGCGAACTCATGTCGGTCTCGTATCCGGTGTCTTGACTCGTGTTACTGTTGCACCTGTACGCCATCAAGGAGCCGAATGGTTTTGGTACTTCGCAGTTTTGATTACTTGGGTTCAAAGAAAGGTCGCCGATGCTATTGAAAAAATCAGGTGTTGGAGTCAAAAGATCACTCGCCCCACTGTCGCTGCTTTCGAAACTGCTGAACTTTTCGGCCGAGTTACCATTGCTCCTCGGTTGAATTTGGTTTACGTTGTCGAAACCGAAGCTGTTTGGTCGTGGCAGAAATGTTACAGCGTCGTGATTACTTTTAGGCTGACTTTCGACGTTTTCAGAAAAGTCGAAGATTTTCATTGGGTTAGATGGTTTTCTTTCTGCAGTCAGCTGAATTTGTTCTTTTAGATGCAAAAGGTAGTTATTTTGAAGGTGATTTTTCGTATCTAAAATCAAAATCAGGTTGACGAAATTGCAATTTTAATTCTAAGTGCTGTAAATAGTTTGTAATTATTTGTGGAAGCTTACCCAGAAGCTCTTCTTGTGTTACATTGAAGCTTTCGAGCAAACTTGGGTACCAGTTTACTGAAACAAAAGCAAGCAAATAAAAACTCGAATGGGGGATGAGATGGTCATGTAGAAAATACTTCTGCCCTTTGATTTTGATGAACGTTTGGTGTTTCAGAATCCTTAGATTTTAGCTGTTTGTGGTTGTGGCGTTTGTAAAAATATTTTAAAAAGGTGTCCACGCTTTGTGGTCAAGCGGCGCATAGTCAGGAAATGATCAAATCTTAGTCTCTCTTCTTTCTCTATTCCTCGTGGGTTAATGGTATAAAGTTTAATTGTGGATTGTAATTGTGGCCTGAACTTGAGAATAATAGAAAAAAAACATGTCAGTTTAACTTACCGATTGATTTTGGGGCTTCACCCAAGGACATTTCGGAAAGTGCGCCGGCAATTTTTCTACAATTTTCTGAGCAAAGGCGTTCTTTTTTCTCGATTTGAAGTGAGCGAAGTTGAGTACAAAACGATTATTCACAGAATTTATTTTTTTTCTCGTGTTTCGAGGGGATTCAAATCAACTTGCTGTTTTGTAGCTAGATTTTTTGAAAGAATGATTAGTTAGTTTGAGTGGTTTACAATATTAGTTTTGTATTCGGCTGAAAGAATGGGTTTGTTTAGTTGTAGCAAGTCGATGAGAATCGGTCTAATCTGTATTGTAATATTGCTTTATCAGCAGCTTGAGCATTCTTAACTATCTGAAGGTCTGTCGACAGTCTGTGTCATTACAAACTGCAAACTTCGTGCAAACGACTCCGCGAGCTCCAAGAAACGACTAGACTGCACTTGCGACAGCGACTTGCAAAATATCAAATATGTTCAACCGGAGTTATCATTTTACAAACTCGCTGGTCTTAGTTGTCATTAAATTTGATAGATGCTGTTTTTCGTGGTCTGCAGTTCTGCTCGTATATTTGATGCTACTCGTAAGTTATTAAGTAAAATTAGTAGTTTGATTCGTTCCGTTCGTTTTCGTTTGCCGTGCATTAATAACTCGTCAGGCCGAAGTGTTGATCATTATAAATCATTTGTCATCTTTTCAAAAGAATTTGTGGTAGTTATTGTTCATTACTCAATCTGCTTACGTCAAAGTAAATATTAGTTTTAGTTACATTCTTGAAAAATTATTTGCAGATTTGTGCGTTTTTCATTATGAAAACAACGTTTTATGGCTCTTTTTTTACGCTGTCGTAGAGGTGGTTTGCAACCAGATTGACGATGCGTGAATACAAATTCTATTAGATAATTGGTGCTCGGATCTGTATCATTGAGAAGTGCTGAATCATAATTTAGAGTTGAAGGCATCCGATACTATGAATGATTCATTCAAAGCAATCATTCATTTTGGGCTTGGTTACCGCGAGACAAAGCTGTTTACTAGGAATATAGAGGGCTTCTCAAGTTAATTGAGTACATTTAGAGTGCAAAATCAAACATATAAGTATGAATATCTAAGTCAACTTCAAATATGAAGAGCGAATTAGAAACTGATTGCCCCTGAGTCATACTTGCTCACTTTTCTGGCGCCAAAACCTGGATCAGTCTGATCACCATCGCAGTACTGTAGCTGGAAAACTTGCTGAATACAACAAATGACAGTTTCCACTCCAAGTGAATGCTTAGGAGATAACGAAACAAAGCAATTGAAGCCCCGGCTCTTTTTCCTTTTCGCCCCACCTGCAAATATTTACTAGTAAAAGTACTGTTCACATTGTCCGATTGTTATGAAAATTGACATGCGGACTAATTAGGCTATGACAAACACATTTGGTTTGTAACCAACCTTGTAAAACCACTCGTTACACCATAAAATTGTCGCCCATGTGATGTGGGGGAAAGGAAAAAGCCGAAGCTCCGTGTCCCATCTAGCAACAAAAATGGCTCTTCTTTTTCATTTCTCCTCCATGTGATTTTCTTTTTTAAACTTGATATGTTTTTTTTTCGTTAGTCGTTTTTTTGGTGTCCTTGAGTTCTGCACTTTTCCAGCTATCTGTTGGCTATATTTCTAATGTAATGAAACTTCGTTGGTGACAAGTTGCATATGTGATCAAGTTAACTGTGTTGAGCACATTAGTTTTTCATACCTTACTTTAAAATATCATACATTACCTTTTATATTGTGAAACAATTTTACAAATGGAAAGTTTGCTTTTTTGAGTGTTGAAGATCCCAAAAAATTAGTCAGACCCAAATTATAGACTTACAGAAATGTTTTGGGTTTTCATTTAGAAAGTTGTGAATGACGGGTTTCAGCCTGAAATTGATTGCGATAATTGTGTTCTCTCGGTGGTATTAAAAGAGCCGAAGTAAAAAGCCGCTACTATATAAACCAGTTGAAACTGCGGAGAAATAGTATAATTACCCTTTCGATAAGCAAAGGTGTTGCAACCGATGCTAGACTATTTTATCAATTGGCATACTGAATTTCATTAAACTCGAATTTAATTGCCAGGTACTATTTATGATTACCGGAAATACTGACATGCTCAATTTTATAAAAATTCAGTTTTAATGACCATTTTTCATTGCGCTTGCGTTTTTTTTTTTCATTTTTTGCTGAAAATATTTACTGGGCTGAAATGTTTTTGGTTTAATGTATACCGGCTTAGTTGCTTACTCAAGTACTGTCGGCTTAGTTGCCCTTCGATATTTTTCTGAATGCTTTCTTAACGCTGTCAATTGCTTTTCTTGGAATTTTTCTCATACTGAACATTTTTTGATGCAAATATATGAAATTTTGGTAGATGTAGTTTTTTTCGATATATACTTTTCAAAGACATTTTGATTATTTTTGTATTATTTTCGTTCACTTAGCTGAGATGATACTTTTGCGTTGTATCGCAAAAAGTGCGAAGTTCTGCTTTATGCTTCACCTTTCTGTTATTTATGTAATTGTTGTGTGACATACGCAATCGTGGACTTTCCAGTGCCAATGACGTAACTTACAGCTTGATTGTATGCTATGCTCGTTTTCATTTTGATTGAATTTTGGCTGGTTACCCTCGTTTTATTAATCATGTTTGGTCTGTTCTGTTCAGACGTCGGAGGGAGTGGACGGTTGTTGTGTGGGGAGAGTGGGCAGATATCCGGATGTGCTGGCCATCATTGGGGCTCAGTGCACGCTTCTCGGTCTGAATAAGACGGACGAGGAACAGTTCTGGACTGTGAGTAGCAAATTTTGATCAAACCATGGCTTTTTTTCTTGTTATCCACACCCTCGTAAAATTAAACTTGAAAAGGTGTCTAAAAGTTAGTCATGAAATTTGCCTGTAAGACATTTACATGTAAGAAATTCTGTATAATTCTGTCGCAAAAGTATCATAATTCTGTTCACGCCGACAAGTTTAGAACATCAGAGATTATACTAGATAGACTTTTCTTCAGATGAGTTTCAGAAAAACTCAAAGCGGAATCTGAAAAAGATTTAGGCTCTTTTCCAGTTCCCTTTTTGAGTTTTTACGAAACTTTTTTCCGAAAGAATATTCGAAATGACTTTTGATGTTTAAACTGCAAAAAATGTGTCAGCGTGAACAAGTGAATGGTTTTTACAGAATTTCTTAGGTGCAAATTGCAGTATGAAAAACTTTTAAACAACTTGATGTTGTAATATAATAAGTGATGGGAAACTAGAAGAGTCCTAACGAATTCTTTACAGACCCTACTCCCGGTAACTTCCCAAATGGCATAATTCCCAAATGGCATAAAAATGGAAACTTTTCCCAAATGGCATAAATTTCAAGTTTTCATTGTAATTTAAACGTTTTCTATCAATTTCTATTTCTATCATTTTGTCAGGAACGAAAGCATGTGAACAAGATTTGGAATTAATTGCTTCCAAACAAATTTAAGCAACAGATTTGTCGAAAAAAATTGACCACATGAAGCTTATTAATAATCGGAAGCTTATGCTTCTTGCTTTTGATAAAGTTTTTAACGATAAAATGTCAATCAACATTTGAATTGACAATTTGACTAATTTTCTCACATTGTTCACGAAAAAATTGTTCTCGATTTTTCCAAAGCAACTGTTGCATGAAATTTATGCCATTTGGGAATTTTTTCATTTTTATGCCATTTGGGAATTATGCCATTTGAGACGTAATCCTACTCCCACCCCGGACAGAAATGGACTTTTTGCGAACAAAAACGTTAATTCTATAGGGTTTCGGAAACCAAATTTGTCAAATAGTTCTTAAGCATGTAGTTCTTAAGCAGGGGCACAACAGCGGTTCGCCGTGATGAGCTGTACAGCTCGTATGTTGGTCCTATCCCTCGTGGATAAAATGATCTTAAATCTTAAATATCAGATAATTTGCGATCCCCCCTCCCCAACCTCACAAAAGCATCAATTTTATGGTACAACGAGGGGTTTTACAAGGTTAAGAGTATGATGACCGAAAAGTTTCTTCAATTATTCTGCATGCCACTTTTTGTAGCAGTCGGAAAGTAAGAGCAACAAAGTTACTTGCAGGTGAGGGGGGGGGGAGTAAAATTCGCTAGTGGAGAGGGTGAGGAAAAAGAGCCGATCATTACCATGCATGTCAAATTTCCAAAAAATCGGCCTTTGTGAACATAAATTTTCTAAACTTAATATCACAGGTGGGTTGGTTGGAAACGGTGAAAGGGCGTAAGCCATTAAAGAAAAAGCGTAAACGGCGAAAGAGCGTACGAAAGGTGGTGGGAAAAGATCGGAAAGAGCAGATAAGAAGGCTCAAAAGTCAATAATAGTCTTTTTCTTTCACTATATCATAACCTTCAATTCTGCTCTATTCAGAATACCCTTCAGGCATCTCATCTTTTTAATTTTCACGTTTTGTTCTCATCTTGTTCAAATCTTGTTCACGCTTTCAAATTTTCCGCGTATTCAGATTTTATTTTAGTCACTCAGCATAGAGTCGATTAATGGACTTAATTGGCTGCAGCATTTCATTTGAAGTTTCCAAGTTTTTTGATTTCTCACCAAAGGAAAAATAATACTTCTATTTTTCGAAAGTCATTTAAAAGTTGAGCTTAAGAAAATAGACATTAGGCTGAAAGAAATCAAAAGTCAAAGCACATGTGCTTTTATGCCTTCTTGAGTTCTCGTGCATTTAGCTTCTGAATTAAATAAACTTCGTGCTCGCACAATTCTCACCTGACTGGGATGGTATTGGGTACTATCGCAGCCATTTCAGTAGTTGCAGGGTCGGGGGTTGCAACTTATCGCTATTTTGATGGACCGAAAAGACGTAAAATCGAACAGACACTGCAAGCCGCAGCTGGTGCAAAAGCTGCAGAGTTTCGCAGAAAGCTTCTGTCTTCGACTTCTCAGGAGCAGCTACAATCTTCTTCTGGAGTTTCCGGTTGCAACGGGCAAGATGCATCTCTGATAACTGATTCGAGAGGTAGACAAGACGACAAGTTATTGGATGTTTTCAATACGAGTTCTCCAAGCGCACAAAGTCGCTGCCCGGAGCGGGTTTATACGTACAGAAACATGTTCGATAATAACGGATCTGGAAGTAATTTGTTCTCCATAACCGATTCGGATGATGATGAAAAATTGATTGATTTAAACGAGGAGCCGAGTGATGCAAATGCTAACTCAAGATTGAGTGGTGTTGGAAATAGAGGCGATTTTGTGGAAGTTAACTTGAGAGACCAGAAAGAGACGCCAAAACCGAGCTTCAAAGCAAACCCCCCACACGACAAACGACAAGACTATATTGAAGGCATCAACAGTGCTAAATGCTGATTCAAGACTTGACTGACTTGAATTTTTTTGAAACAACATTTTGTTCACCATATAGAACTTGTTCAAATTTTACATTTTATCGACGACTTATCGGAATTTTGAATAATTCCAGTTTTTACTTGTTTCAAGTCATAAATGAACTCGAATACGCCGTTGTGTATGTGTTAAGAATATAGGGCTCTTTTCTAGTTTTCCACCCCCTCCTAAAATTACATTATAGAGTTGTCTAAAAGTTGTTCATACTGTAATTGGTAAGAAATTTTGCATTACTTCGTTCAGACTGTAATGTGTTATTTCCAGAAATCCAATAAGATCCATTTTAAAGGGAAACTTAAAAGAGCCGAAAATTGCTTTGTTGGAAATTTATGCTATAGCCTAAAAGCAGAAATGATAATTTTTTCTTTATGGCTCAAATAAACAGAAGCTGCAGAAAAAAATCCCTGATATCAAGAACTTTCGCTCCACAGCCTATTAATGGCTTTCTTCCCAATGGCAAAAACTTTAGTATAACTGTACTTAATGATTTACCAAGTTGTACACAAGTGGACAAAATTAAACGGCTCTTTTCCAGTTTCCCACCCCTCGGAAAATTACAAAATGAAGCTGTTTAAAAATTGTTCGCGCGGTATTTTGCATGTAAGAAATGGGCACTTTTTCCTTTTCCCCCCTTCTCACACAAGCATAGATTTTATGGTCTAACGAGTTATTTTACAAGGTTGATTATGAAGACCAAATATGTTTGTCATGGCTTAATTTATCAGCATGGCAATTTTCGTGACAATCGGACAATGTGAACAGTAATTTTTTCAATGAAAAATTGCAGGTGGGGGAAAAGGAAAAAGAGCCAAGAAATGTTGTAAAAGTTTGTTCACTTGTTCACACTGACACGTTTTAGTGCAGTTTATATTGAGAAAAAAAAACATTTTAAATTGATTTCCATAAATTGAATTTCAGAAAAAATTAAAGGGGGGACTGAAAAAGAGCCAATTAAACGCATATTTACCAGTTTACTTATAAAATGCCATTTGTGACAATGCTTCAATGACCATTTGTGTCATTCATTTAGAATTTTACCAAGATTTTTAGGCTCTTTTTCATTTTCACCCCACCTCACACGACCATCAATTTACAAGGTTAATTAAGAACACCAAATATGTTTGGCACAGCCTAATTAGTCCGCATGTCAATTTTCATAACGATCGGACAATGTGAACAGTAACTTTACAAGTAAAAAATTGCAGGTGGGGTGAAAAGGAAAAAGAGCCGAATTTTACAGCGACCGACTGCAAATGATCTGAACTATCATCTCTTAACACAGCCAAAATCTAATTGTTGATTTTGAGAACAAGTTTTTTCGGCTCTTTTCCAGTTTCCCCCCTTTCAAATTCAATTTTGAAAAGTCTATTCAACGTTGTCATAATGCAATGAAATTTGGCGTGGTGAACAAATCGACAATTCTGAACAGATTTGTTCTTCATACTTTACAGCGTAACATCACGCGTTTAGCCGTAATAACACGTAAAACAAACATAAAACTCGGTATTTTGAAAGGGGGGAAAGTGGAAAAAGCCGTTTTTTCTTGGTCTGAAAATGCTAGCTTTCATCGTTGGTAGTAAGTTTTTCCGACGGTGTGAAATTATAAGAAATAATAGAGTTCAGGAAAGTTGTCACACTGAGCACTGCAATTTTTATCGTTTAAAGTTTTACGTAGTGTAAATTACGATTTTCAGTTTCGAAATTGGAATTTATTTTTCAGTGTTTCCAGCGGAATTAAAGCTTTACCTATTGATCCAGTTTTCTCAAGTTATCAAAAAAAGGCCAATCCTTAATCTTTCTAGAAATTCAAAGAGCTTAAAGAGCATCTATTTTTTCTTTGAAGTTGAAAAGTTGAGATTTTTTATGTTGAGAGTCGGTGTCTTTTTATGTTTACTTGCGTTCATTACTCTTTTCCAATCTTCAATTGGCTATGTGTAGATCGTCAAATGAAACTAAAAACGATTTATTTCGAAGAACAATGCTAAGTTAGTGTGGATGCCTTTAGTTGTTATTTTCCAAAACATTACATACAAAATTGTATTCATTAGTTTGCTGCCACTTTTGCTGCCTCGCTTTGCCAATTTATTTGCATATGTAGCTGCTTAATTTTTGACCAGTGTTTGCTGATTGCTAAGAGATCAAGGCCGAGAGGGCAGGTCGTGAGGTTCTAAATCTCGAGGTTGCAGTTTTTAATCCGCTACCTAGCAAAGTCCTACTAATTCACTTTATAAAGCAGTTTTTTTTGCTGTATTCTTGCTAGTGCTTGCGAAGCACAGCTTCGCGTCCATGTGCAAAATTGTCTAACCTGCTTATTCGAAAAAAATTTTGCGCCCTTAAACATTATATTTTGAACGGTGAAATTTGGTATTTTCAGGCCCGGAAAAAAACTGGTAA